ACTGGCCCCATGACGGTTCAACCCAAAAGCCTGACATTCGGGGCCCACGGGCCCTGCATTGTTTCAGCCTAAAAAAAGGCGTGAGCCTTTTTAGCCTGAAACTGAGGGCTATTCTCGGGCCCTCGTCAGACCGACCTGCCCTGAAACAAGCACAGTCGGGCATGAGCAGGAGTGACCTGCCCGGAAGCTTCCTCAGGGGCTAGCACGTCCAGGCATTGGCAGGAGTGACCTGCCCTGAAGCTTCCTCAGGGGCTAGCACGTGCAGGCATTGGCAAGAGCAGCCTCCTGGACGGGCCAGCACTATATAAGACTGGCCCGCCCTACAGGTTGGGACAGACGAGAGGAGACTGCCCAGGCACTCGATGTGCACTTCTGCAGGAGGTAGTAGTCTTCAGGATTCGGCTGCAATAGTAAAGTAGTGTTAACAATAGTCTTCAGCGCTGGGCACTAGTAGCAGTAGGCTAGAGTAGTGGAGAGAGGAGGCTGGCGGAGGCCAGGGATACTTACCTGTGGCGCCATAGCTCCAGCTTCGTCTTCAAGGTACCTGCAGCAGGACGCCACCTTCAGGGTGACTTACCTGTGGCGCCATAGCTCCAGCTCGTCATCGAGGTACCTGCAGCACAGCGTCACCATCACAGGTTAGTACCTGGCTCCAGAGAGAGAGAGAGAGAGTTCTTCTTCCTCTTCTAAGTCCACCATCTCCCTCCCTATCCTCTCACTGTCTGGCTTCACTGCTTCGGCAGACTACGAGAGTGAGAGTGGTTACTTGCAGAGGTTACAGGCGGGGATTGTCACGGGCATTGGGCCCAGGATCTGGTTCGACATTTTTGGGCAGACATTGGTTGGAATTCGGCCAGGGACTATTCCGAACTCCGCTATTGCGATCTTGAGTCTTCTCCCTTKCCTCCATCTTCGTCCTTCCCTCCCCCTCCATCTCTCATCCGTGGTATCTCCCCATGTGTGTATGCAGGAGGGACCTTCGTCTATGCATGCGGTCCCTCCTCTCCCTCTCACATGTGTGATGTATGATGGGATGTCGTAACAGTCCAGGTCAGGTCAGGACTTATCTCAAAGTCTTCCGCTGTGCTATCAAATGCCATTTCTCATGTATCGGGATGTACGTTGTCTGTTGATGTTTCACTAACAGTACATTGTCGATTCAGTCCTTTTCATCACATTGCGGATCCTTGGCTGAATACATAGCCCAACTTGGCATGTAACACGAAGTCAGGACGCGGGGGAGAGAGAGGGAGGACGGAGGGAGGGAGAGAGAAAGAGAGAGAGAGAAAGAGAGAGAGAGAGGTCGGGGTAGGGAAGGGAAGAGGGAGCCGAATCGGGGAAGAGGGAGGGGGGTCGGGATAGAAGGGGTTCGGGATCGAAGTTGGGATGGGGGGGAGAGAGAGGAAGGACGGAGGGAGCGAGAAAGAAAGAGAGAGAGAGAGGTCGGGGTAGGCGAGGGAGGAGGGAGGAGGGAGGGGGATGGGGATAGGAGGGATTCGGGAT